ACGCTGGCGGGGCACCAGGCGGCGTGGTGCATACAAGCTGCCCCTCGCTGACCCTGCAGGACAGGGGGGCTGGGTCAGGGCCACTCTCCAGGGGTCTCTACTCCACGGGTCTGTCCAAAGACGGGCGGTCCCAGTCAGACCCCAAGAAGACAGGGCGTGAGCAGGCTCCTCACAGCCTGGGCTGGAGGCAGGGGACTTGATGATGGTCTCTCTTGCCATCCACAAACCACCTCTTCCTGGGCCTGACTCTGTGACCGAGCCGCTCTCCCTCTGCCCTGAGGCCCGGTGCCCTCCGCGCCCCCCGCCGCCGGCACTCACCCGTCCAGCAGGCACTCACTCCCGTTGACCAGCACGGCCCGGCTGGTGCCTATGGACAGGCCCTGGCCCGTCAGGGTGAGGCGGGTGCCCCCGGCCTGCGGGCCAAAGAGGGGGTGCACTTCCTTCAGCACCGGCTCCTGAGGGGGTGTGGCGGCGGAAAAACGAGACCCGGCCTCACCATGAAAGAGAAGCCGGGCAGCGCGGAGGCACCATCGACCCGGAAGTGCTTGCCCCGCGGCATGTTGGTCACGGTGAGGCTCACGTTGGCAGGCCCAGCTGCCTGCGTGCCCGGGGGCTGCAGCTCACACGCAAGCTCCTCTATGAAGCCCTTCCAGGACATGGGGCTAGAGCCCCGGGAGCTCAAGGTCAGCCAGAGGTCACACAGGCCGGGCTGCCTGCCCACCGCCGGCTCCAGGGCAGGAGGACCTGGCGGGGGGCCAGCCTTGCCCGCTCCATGACGCCAGGGCACACGCAGCTTGCCTCGACCTCCCTGCCCCACAGGCAAAGGCTAGGGCTCAAGGGGAGAGGCCGCTGGGTTGCCCCCTGAGGAGAGGAAGGGCGGGGGACCGTGGTACCTGGGGCCTGAGCTGTCCTTGGGCAGCAGTCGGCAGGGACTTTGGCCCACGGTGACCTGGTGGGTGCCCTCAGGCACCAGACCGCCAGGGTGCAGGTAGAAGTTGGAGCCACACAGGGTCAGCCTGGTGCTGCCCCGGAGGGGTCCGCTGTGAGGATAGAACTGGAGGGGGAGCAGACAGCCTCTGTGGGCCAGGCCCCCAGCTCTGGCTGCTTCCCCCCAACTTCCCTGCCGCACCCCTCGCCCGCCCCGCTCTGTTCATTCTAAGTCATGGCTAGTCCCCGATCACTTTTCTGCCTCCAAATCTGCACGTGCCACCAGAATGCCTTCCTTAAGGACATCCCAGGCCCGAGGAAAGTCATGGTCAAGACCTGCTGCCCCCACCCCAGGCCCAGCTTGCCTCACCTTCACCTGTGCCTGGCCAGGCAGGCCATACCTCAATAAGCTCAGGCGGGCAGTGGTCCTGTTGCCAGGAGCCAGGACACTCCTTCTGCCGGCCACACACGCTCCCACACCAGCCACAGCCCATGAAACGCTGTGCCCGCAGACAGCGCCCGCAGGTGAGGAAGTGGCGGCAGCCGGGGCCTCTGATGGGCACCTGGAAGACCTTGGGGTGGCGGAAAGGTGGCTTGGGGTGATGGGAGGAGGTTGGGAGCCCCTGGTCCCGTTGTAGAGCAGCGTGGTGAGACCTGGGTGTTGTGCCTCTCTCGCGCCGGGCCCTGCCCCTGCCCCTGCCCACCTTACCTTGTCCCCAGAGGCAAAGAGCAGGTGGTTCCCAAGGCGACTGACATCCCGCTGCACGGGCTGCCGGCTGCTGCTCAGCGAGAAGTTGGAGACATACAGCAAGAAGCCGAGAGACCGGGCCAGCTCCACCTGGGACAGGACCGCTGTGAGCAGCATGGGGACGGGGAGGGGGACGCAGGGCACGGGCTGTGGACACAGGGGCCTACCTGCAGGACCCGCCCATCGCTCGTGCCCATGTGGGCCACGGTGATGTTGTCCAGGCTCGTCACGTGCAGCGCGGTGACCTGCGTCGGCCCCAACAGACCGTTGAACAGGTCCACGCGGGAGACGCTGCTGCTGACCAGCAGAGGGAAGTGGTAGCAGCTGCCGTTGGAGCTGGGCGCCCTGGGGTCCGGCTGGGGGAACCAGGGAAGGCGTCAGGGCTCACCCCACACAGTGCCTGTCAGGGGCCACAGCAGCCCGAGCTCCCGCCCTCACCTGGCCTG